ATACCTCGCATGCTTTGTGCATAAAAATTTGGGGCCTACTGAATTTATCTTATAAAAAGCCTAACAAATATTTTACCAAATGGGATTTTTTACTGCACTTTAACTATAGAGAAAGATATACAGTCAAAAGTCGTTAATTCGGACCTCAAAGCTAAAAACTTTCCGCGCATGCGGAGCGTTGACGCATGCGCATAGGCGTTTACGGGTGCGCGTAAGACCTTTACGACTGCGCGTAAGACCTTTACGACTGCACGTATGCATGTGCACAAGCGCAGAATACGTTTTCGCGTGCGCGTTTAATTTATAATGGACGGTATAATAAGCTAAAATTATCTAATTATCTATTTCAGTTAATGTTGATGATTGCGTTGTTCCTTCATCTTCGAATTGGATCCGGCTTATTATTTTTTGTAGACTGTAAGAGCAATTTTATAAAAGTAAGCTTGAACTTTCGATTATGTCAAATAGAATTTCCAATGCTGGAGCTCCCAAAGGATCTACAAAACGAAAGTATGTTTCGATGTCCATCAAACAAAAAGTGGAATTGCTCCAAAAAATGGATAAAGGCATATCCTTTGTTTATCTAACCATTCCGAAATCTGTTTATCAATTTCACGCTGCTCTGCGCGGGGGGGAGGGGGAACGTCGCGGCGCGCAATGAACTGGAAGTTGATCTGTCAGCACTATCGTTATCTTCAGGGCAGATGTTTTTATTTTATTCGGCTTATAATTCCTTATTAAATGTAGTATTTCATCTCGATGTACTCCGTCTTTGATATGATTTAAATCAAATTCCTCGTCATTATAAATATCACGAATACAAATCAAATAGCTTTCTGGTGGCAATTTTCTAATTTCGGCTATGCATAATGTATGCTTTACGCATGCACGCGTTGAAAGAAATGTTTAATAAAGTAAACAAATAAATATTAAGCTTTTTTTTTGTAAATTTTGATACCCTTTAGATCATAATTGCTCATTATTTTATAAATTACGGTTTCATATTTTTAATTTTATAATTTCTGCATGCCATCTTACCAGATTTAAACTGATGATCTATAATCCGGAATCCCCGAAGTCCCGACGAGTCCGGATTAAAGACTTTTGACTGTATTTTATATTTATTAAACTATCAAACTTATGATGTTGAAACTTCTAAAAGTTATGTTTAATGCAATCTTTCTATGCCCAGCGGCGTTGCAAAGGGTCATATGCACTCTCCAAAATTGTTTCTTCTATCAGAAACTGATAAATACAAAAGGTGGCAATATTTTGTTAATTTTCTTGTTGAAGGAGGCCTTTTTGGTTTGTCTTATCCTCTAGTTTCCCTCTTATCAAAAAAGATCACATATGCCTATTTTGTTACTGTTATTCCTATTATCAACTAAATAGTTAATGAACATTTATTGTAATGGTACTTTTGTGAATGTTGGAAGATGGTTGAGCGTGGGTAAAGAAATTACTGTTCATATTGTTAAAAGTGCTCTGAAGCAAGTGATGGAGTGTATGAATCAGATTAGCTGAATTTAAAATATATTGGAGGATCATGAAGAAACAGCTAGAATGCTGCTGCTAACTTGAGTCTAGCTCCAAGCTCCACATTTATTTTCCAAAATACCTATGAAAACAAGAAAACTAAGAAATGAGAACTCAGGTTTTTTTAGGACCATAGTTCCCGCTGTTTCCAGCAGTGCATATAGTTCTTTTGCCGCAAGTGTACTGAAGAGAAAATACTGTATTATCCTTAAATTCTTTTGGCTATTAATATTGGGTTACATAAACAGAGAGGCCTTCTCTTCTGCCATTCATTTTACATTTGTAAATATCAAGTGATAGTTTGTTAAAATAAGCACATTCATTTTATCTTTTTTATAGACTTAGAACTATTCTGAACATGTAGCATTAGTGAAGAGTAACATGATTCAGCAATAAAAATTATTATACATTTTATGACAGAATAACCCAGACTGAGTCGGAAAATCTGGGTCGATACACTAATTTTAAAAGGAGTAAGAAGAAATATTTCCTCTTGAATAATTTTTAAATTATTGCGAAGCTGAACTGAAAAATGTATTGCAAGCAAAGAAGTATCTCATACTAAGCAATGATGTCCGGTAGTTCGATAATGCTGATTCAACAGCAAGCTGAAGGTGTAACTCATTCCCCAAAGTTCTGCTTCTGCAAACAGGATATTTGTACAGTCAAAAGTCTTTAACCCGGACTTCGGCGATTCTGGATTATCGGTTTTTCCGGATTATAGATCATCAATTTAAATCTGGTAAGATGGCATGCAGAAATTATAAAATTAAAAATATGAAACCGTAATTAAAGAAATAAAGAGCAATTATGATCTAAAGGGTATCAAAATTTACAAAAAAAAAAAAAAAAAGCTTAATATTTATTTGTTTACTTTATTAAACATTTCTTTCAACGCGCGCATGCATAAAGCATACATTACGCATAGTCGAAAATAGAAAATTGTAACCAGAAAACTATTTGATGTGTATTCGTGATATTTATAATGACAAGGAATTTGATTTAAATCATATCAAAGACGGAGTACATCGAGATGAAATACTACATTTAGTAAGGAATTGTAAGCCAAATAAAATAAAAACATCTGTCCTGAAGATAAGGATAGTGCTGACAGATTAACTTTCAGTCCATTGCGCGCCGTGACGCCGCCCCCTACCCCCGCAGTGCAGGGTGAAATTGAGAAACAGATTTTGGAATGGTTAGAGAAACAAAGGATATGCCTTTATCTATTTTTTGTAGCAATTTCACTTTTTGTTTGATATACATCGAAACATGCTTTCGCTTTGTAGATCCTTTGGCGCCTCCAGTATCGGAAATTCTTTTTGACATAATCGAAAGTTCAAGCTTACTTTTATAAAATTGCTCTAACAGTCTGCAATAAATAATAAGCCGGATCCAATTCAAAGATTTAGGAACAACGCAATCTGCAACATTAACTGAAATAGATAACTAGATAATTTTAGCTTAGCTTATAGCGTCTGTTATACATTAAATGCACATGCATAAACGTATTATGCACATGCGTTTATGCATGTGCAGAAAGTTTGTGGCTTTGAGGTCCGGGTTATAGATCATTCTGGATTATGGACGTCCGGAATTAAAGACTTTTGACTGTATTGTTCTAAGAAAAACTGATCTCTTTCAGAGATGGTAATGAAATGTTTCACTATATATATCTAAAAACTGCAAAAATAAAAATTTTAAATACTTTATATTGTTCTTGAATAATAAAAACCTACTTTACACACTGAAAAAAAAAAATATTTGTAATTTTAAAACTACTTACAGATATCAGTATTCTCAGTATTAAAATGAAAAGTTTTGTAGCTCCACTAGGTGCCCAAGTGGTTATGATAGCTGAATACCGAGAATTTGCCCCGAGTTCTATCCGAGGTAAAGAGGCTGGCTGCATGGTTGGTTTTTGCAGTCTTCCCCACATGAAAACATTTTAGTTTCCTTTAGGAATTTCTCCTTGAAGACAAACCATCTCTTAGATAGCCCTCATCTGCTTTTTTGCATTCCAGTAACGTAATGTGACCTAAAACTTTTGCAACTGCTTTCAGTTAACTGGATCACTGACATTTGAAAAGGGTTAAAAGTAAGGAAGATCTATAATTTTAACCCGTTAATGCAATTTTATTCTATGAAATTGCTTTAGATAAAAAGGATGCTGAGTTACATTATTTTTATCTAATTCTGATAAAAAGAGTGCAGTTCAGAAATTCTATAAATACATTTTACACTGAATCTTTTTCCTGGCACAGGAACTAAAAATGGTATCAATGATACAGTTTCATCTTTCTCAAACTGTGATTTCTTACACTCACAAAGTGCAATCAAATCATTTGCCATATTCTTTATAAATTAATTATCCGACCATTTGTAACTGATTGAAAAAGGTCTTACATCCCATCCTTACAGAACAAGAATAATTTTACAAGTATCCAAATAAAAACTGATTACATAGGTTTATACTAGATTACTTAAATTGATGCTAAATTTACAAGATCCTAGCATGGAAATTTGAGATTGCTGATTATGACACAGATGCCAGTAATCAGTAGTATCACATTAATATGTTAATAATACATATTTTATTGAACAACTTAAATATTTCATTACATAATGTAAAACATCTTTATTTACTTGTAATTTCTTGTAGCCTTTCATTTAACAATTATCACAGTAATAATATATAACACAGTAAACGATATTATAACGTCAGATTTTGAGAAAGGGTATAAAGTCATGAATATTTTATCATGCCTTATTTTCAACTATATGAATAATAACTAATTTATCAACATAAGCTATCAATCTAATAAAGATTTTATGTATTTATTATTTTAAATAATTAATGAAATAAACAATATTGGCACACATGATTTAAATAATTATGTAATCAATCAACTTTATAAACACTTTATATTTTGGAATTTAAATAATTCATCAATGATTGAGTAAACTATTTTTTGTTTATTTATTCAAAACTTTTAATTTTAGATGTCCACTTTTTTTTTTAAATTAGCAGCTTAATTACTTCAAGATCAAAATTAAAAAATATAAAAAAAAAAAAAAAAAAGTTTTGGAAACCATACATTTAAAATTACTTCCATTTTTATTTTGCATTGCACCCAAACTGCCAGAATTAAAAACCATTCAATTTTCAATAACATCAGCTAAAGACAGTATTTGCTATAACATCAATTAATAATAATAAATTATCGCAAAAACTTACTATTACTTTATCTACTTAAAAAGACCTGTAAACTTTTCAATTTGTGACTTTTGAAATTGAATTTATACACCTAAGTAATCAATTTTTATTTATAGCAAATTAAAATAATAATTAAAAAAATATGCATTAACTCCAAAATCCTTAGACATACAGAAGAAAAGACATCTTTACAAAATTAAAATTTATTTTTACATATGTACATTTTAATTTTACAATAAATTTATTTTTAATCCCATAGCTTCATTGTGCCATCCCATCCTGCAGATACAACCTTTGAAGTCTCATGAGGATGCCAAATTACACTAGAACACACATTATCATGTGCTTTAAACTTGCTAAAAAGTTTTGTTGTTTTCCAATCCCAAATATAGACTTTACCATCTGCATCTCCTGAGATGATGTAGCTAAATAAGAAAAATTTTACAGGCATTAATGATGCTGCACAATATATAACAAAGTTTTGTATTCAGCAAAAGAAATAAGTTAAAAAGTATTATCAATAATTTTTATTAATTTATTTAATAGAATTAAAGTATTTACGTGATCCTTTTAGGAACAGAAATTGTCTGTTATACACTGTCTCATCAGGGGGCAAAGTGTAACAAAAAATCAACCATTAACAGTTACATTTAAGTGTATGGCTTTATGTAATTAGAAGATAAAGAAGTTTAAAAATGGCACCTTTATTTAAATTACTACTTAAAGGGACCTAGGAACATATTACTTTATTCACTTTGAATGTTCTATAGTCATGTATGTATTTTTGTCAATTACTAGTTTTATCAATTAAAAAAAAAGGTTAAAGCCTATTTGAAATTTTTTACAGTTCTTAGCACCTTCATATTTATTTGTGTTTTCATTTTGGTTTTTTAATTGCAATGGAACCTTGGTTCATGAAAGATATCTCAAGATATGAACAAAGGAGCTGGCAATAAATGATACTCCAGAATATAGTTAATGCAGTAGAGGTATTGTCTTCAGTAGAAGATCAAAGGGAAGATATTCCTATTTATTCAGTGCACAAAATGGGATTAGGTGCAGAGGTTTATAGATCACTCTGATAAAGCAGCAATATGCCATAGCTCAAATATTTACTATGGCAATCTTGTTTTAAGAACATTTTAAATTGTATACAGAAATAAATTTTTAATGGGACAAATGCTCAGTGATTCTCAAGTAGAGGCAAAAGGTGTTAAGAGATGGAGAAAAGAAAAAAGTTCTGAAAGATAGCAAATAATGCAGATTTACCTCTCGAACAGTAACATTTTGCACCTTTGGCTTTCATAATGTTTTACTTATGTCATCAACTCCCTTCCATAGAGATATGGTAAAATTTAATTCAAGTTTCCTATTTTTTTTACATGCTTAGTATTGTGTTTAATAATGTGTACATATTAGACTTAATGAATTCCACTAGCTTTGCATTAAAAACTTACGCATAAAGTATTCTTTGCTAAGCATAATTTGGGATCCAGGAATGGATTGATTCATTTTACATTAAATCGTATGGAGAAACATGAAATATCTTCAGAAGTTCATGAACCAACATTTCACTATACATGTATGATGTTATATAGAATTTCTAACATTATTTTGGGAGTGTTAGCTCGCATTCTCTAAAATTCCATAACCATCATTCTACAATATTTTGTTTAATTCTTTATTATTTATTTTATAAAAATTATTATAACAACAGAGAATTTTCTTGACATGTTATACAATATTATTCACTATGCTAAAATGAATTGCAATGCTTAATTTTTACAGAATTACATACACTTGGTGTTTATTTAGTTTATCAATCAACTTGGAGCTATTTTCATAGCTATAAATTCATACTTAATTTATCACAAAATTTTCTGTTTTGTTTGTTACTACACTCAGTAATGCTATTGTTAACAATTGGTTGTTTATTATATGTTGTCCCCACCTCCTTTGACAAGAGAGCCCATAATAGCCAATTACGATTAGCAAAAGGATTTTTCATTTTTTACTTCTTTACTTCTACATTTTACAAATTATCATTTACCTCATTTGCTTCATAACAGGATTGTTGTTATGGCATAGACCTGTACCTGATGTTTCCAGCAACACTACATTTTAGAGCAGTTCATATTCTTATGTACCTTACTGATCTAAATTTAGGTTTATTTCTATACTGCTTTTCATAGTGCATATAATCATACTTCAAACTCTTTGTTCATTTATATTTTCACTACTTTATTTTTTTGTATACAATTCTCTTTAGAACTATAAAAGTGTTTTAGGAAATAATATCTAAAAAATTATCTCCTATAAAATAAAATGTAAATTTTTATTGGATATAATTAAACCTTTTTCTGTATAAATATATATGAATTATTTAAAATTAATTCTTTAATACATAACATTAAACATAGAAACATTCCATAGGAGGAATAATGTCTCCATCTATTCTGCCTCTTGTAAGCTACTGTAAGACTTTCTTGTATGAGGTAGGGGGAGTGCAGCATTCATGAGGAATTTAGACCCCACTAATCTGGCCCAAAACCAAGCTGCCTCAACCCTTTCCAGAAAAGTATAAACAGCCTACTCTTCCTCTACACACTTTGGAGGGTGTGAAGTGTACAATCTGATATCTAATGAGGCTAGTTTACTATACAAGCTGCCTAAAGTAGTGACCTGTAAAACTTTTTAATCGTGAACCCCTAGATAAAAATAATTATAAGTTGTACTAATAAAATATAAAACAGTATACACAATCATACACTTACAAGTGATCGTGATCATTCTTTAATGTACCCACAAGTATCACTTTATATATCCCGTTAGGGCAGTGGTGGCGAACCTTTTTGGAGCCACGTGCCCAAAACCTCTTTGATGAAATCTCCATCAGAAAGCCGTTTGCCAGGCACAGTGAAATTTGGTCATTGTTAGATGGTTTGTTTAGAAAGATAATTGCAAAAACCAACTTTCTGCTAATTATAATTCCTGAGTTTCCTTCAATAAAACCCTTCCGCTCAGCTTCATCAAATTCGCCAACAATCTTGTGGTTGGTGTTTAAGTGCTGTCTGACACTAGATGTGCGACACACAACACTTTTCCCGCACAGAATGCATAATGTTTTCCTATTGTGTTCAATAACTCAATGATTCTGTCCACGTCTCTTGAAATGACTGTCCACTATCAATGTTTAATTTTGCCTTTTTTGTTGGAATCATTTGTGAGGGTTCAAGACCTGGAGTAGAGAAAATCTATTTAACAATGAAAGTATTAAAACTCGCTGGTAGTTTGCAATAAATTTGAATTTGTTTAGCAAACATTAGCTGCTTTAACTCTGACGTATTCTTTGCCATGTGACAAGTAATATGATTGGCCCAAACAATTTGAAACATCATAAATTGGGTCAATAAATATGTATATCATTTCTATGGTGATATATGAAAATCTTATTTCTAGGCTTAGGCCCTATGCCAGTGACATTATACAATAAGTAAGTAAGTGAAAAGTTCAAGAACAGACTAAAACACTTATTTAAATTACATAGTATCATTTTATTGCGATTATTGATTAAGGAAGTAATATTTTAGTTGTGTGCCGTCTGTGGCACATTTGCCATAGGTTCACCATAACTGCACTAGGGTATATGTACCCCACTTGGACCACTAGCCTAAAGGATGGAAGTAGGAACTTAATTCATATATAGTATATCCCAAGATCCGAGACCGTCACAATACAGATCTCAGCTAGTACAATAAACAATCCTGGGAAGCGTAGGAGTGGCAAAGCTGAAGTTAATAATTTATTTAAAGAAAAATTAAAAAAATTTAATTTATAAAACTATCTTATCAAATATAAATCAAACAGAATTAGCATTACAGACGTAAAATTTTAAATGCAATTTTTAAAAATACTGCTTATGCGATTTTTTACAAAACTTGGCATTTACACAGAATTGAAACAGAGAAAAAAGCTGACATATTATTTCAGAAAAGTTGAATTTTGTCTCAAAAACTAAAAATTATACTTCTACAATGCTACTACGCATAAATATAATAAATCATGTTCTCAGATATCGAAAATTAATTTTAAATCTTGTTGATTGGCCAAATTGAACTGGAGTCATAAAATTATAAATTTCAATGCCATCAGAGAATACCTTAGATTTTAATGCATGTATAACAGCATAAAGATTACATGAAAATTAATTATAGGTGCTGGAAATATTGAATAAGTTTGACAGAGATTAAATACAATTTTTAATAGAAATTTGGCTTCTTATACAGTGCTATGGCAAAAACAATATTTTATTTGAAATATTAATTTGCTACACAATTTTTTTAAATAGTTAATAAAATAAACTATTAAAATTCCCCATACTTCATTAGAAGGGGAATAATAAAGTAATTATAAAATAGATACTAATACTGAAAGATCCCAAAGTAATAATAAAAAAAAAAAAAACTGCTTACCTCATGTCTGGTGAAAAATCCAATCCACATGCATATCCAGCAACCTAGACAAAATTTGAAAGGATAAACATAAAACTGCACGATCTCTTTATTTTCATTAATATTTATTATTTAATTTGGTTACAGTCACTGAAACTATAATTTTACCATATATTACTTATCTATGTGGTTGTTATTAAAATTAACCTGAAAATAATTAAGCTTGCCAAATCAAAAATGCCCCAATATTTACCCAACAGATATCATAAATTAGTTTCCAAAATAATTTTTTTCTGAGAAAATTTATGAAAGTGAGCTGTTCATATTTAAACAACATTGAGGACAATATTGAAAATATTGAGGACAACATTCATTTTTATTCCAAATTTAAAACTGTCTTCTTGATCACAGTTTTAATCTCTTTCAAAATTCCATAAAACCACAAGAAAAGTTCATGTTGATTTCTATTTAAAAAACATTAAGATTTAATTTGTGTAATGATTCCTAACTCATTACACATAGATATTTTAGTGATCCAAGTAGCCATCTGCAAACTGAAAAACTCCAGATTCACACAATTTTTGGTGAAAGAAACTGAATGCAGGAACTGAGCACTCAATCCAGATACTTAACTCATAACTTTCATAACTAATGAAAACTCATGGAACATTGTTAAAACTATCTCTAAAATTCTTACATGATCTGTTTTCTGTGTCGCTATCTTGCAGGGAGAAAAGAAATGAAAGAAAATTAGCATTAAAAAAATAGAAAAATTAGACTCAGTGGGAGGCAGATGCATCAATAAAGGATATTTTTTACCCATGGCCACCAAAACATCCTTTACATCAACTATTTAAAAAAAAGTTTTACATAATACAAAATAAAGGCAAAACCATTAGCTTGCCAAACATAGAGTTGAATGATTAGAATGGGAGACTCCCTGAGAAATAATTCTTTTCCTGAATGAGAAAAAATTTAATTTAGATTGCACATCTGGTAAATATATGGACCTGGCATGATTTGAATTTAATGTTTACTGAATTTTACAGCAGATATGAAGAAGCAATGATGTGAAGATATTCTGGAGAAAGTACTACAGTCAAAAGTCGTTAATTCGGACATCCATAATCCGGAATGATCTATAATCCGGACCTCAAAGCTACAAACTTTCTGGCTGCGTCGCGTGACGCATGCGCGTAAGTTAACCGTTGTGTAAGCCTTTACGGCTGCAAAATAGGCGTGTGCGTATGCCATAAAACGTTTACGCAGGCGCGTTTAATGAATACGGACGGTATAAAGCTAAGCTAAAATTATCTAATTCAGTTAATGTGCAGTGCGTTGTTCCTTAATCTTTCGAATTGGATCCGGCTTATTTTTGCAGACTGTGAGAGCAATTTTAAAAAGTAAGCTTGAACTTTCGATTATATCAAATAGAATTCCGATATATATTTGCTAAATGTAAAGGATCTAAAGCAAAGTATGTTTCGAAATCCGAAATATTGTTTATCAATTTCACCGCTCGGCGGGGAATGCCGCGGCGCGCAATGAATTGGTAGCTGATCTGTCACACTATCCTTATCTCAAGGCAGATTTTTGATTTTATTTGGCTTATAATTCCTTACTAAATGTAGTATTTCATCTCGATGTGTAGCCGTCTTTGATATGATTTAAAACAAGTTCCTCGTCATTATAATTCGCTTCCGATAATCAAGAAAGTGACACAGAGGTTATTGAAAACGAAAAAATCTCGATTGACAAATTAGTCGGTATTCTCAACACAGCAATTATAGGACTTGAACAGCGGAACTTTGTAACTAAACAAGAAATTATGTCTGTTTAATAGAATTAAAGAGGAAGTATTATCACATGAAACGAAACAACTTACATTGAAAGAAATGCTTAATAAAGTAAACATATAAATATTAGGCTTTTTTTTTTTTTTGTACATTTTTTACCCTTTATATATAATTGTTCTTTATTTCAAAATTACGGTTTCATATTTTTAATTTTTAATTTCTGCATGCCATCTTACCAGATTTAAAATGATGATCTATAATCCGAAAAAATCGATAATCTGGAATCGCCGAAGTCCCGACGAGTCCGGATTAATGACTTTTGACTGTATAAATGATGGGCCAAAAATTAATAAATGTATGGCATCACATATAATCAGTGTATGTTCTTATGAATGTTTAATTCCATTTTGGATATTATTAGATACTATGTGACTAGATTTTCAATAAAATTTGTATTTAATGTTATATATTTATATTTTATTTTCAATAAAATTTAATTTATATTGACTAAGGTTTGCTTTAAAATGTCAATTTAAGTCTAATAAAACTGTTTAGTTTGTAGTTGTTTTCTCCTATAAAATTATATTTATGAAAAAATAATGATTTACTTTCAATTTTCTATACATGTATAAGAGAAAAAAATGCTGCAAGTTTAGAATATAATTTTACACAATTGATAATAGCATTCTTACCATATGTCCGGTGAATGTTTTTTTCCTGTTTAGCTTAAATCTGTTTAAGGCAGAAAATACCATAATCTTATTATCCATAGACTGGCAAGCTAACCATTTGCCTATAAAAATGGAAAAAAAAAAAAAAAAAAAAAAAAAGATAAAAGTCATTTTTTCCATTTAACATTTCATCTAACTAAATCAGACATGCCATTGACAAAAATAAGGCAAGTAATATAACAATAAGAATTTACATAGCATCCTCTCAAAATGGAAGGTTTTAATTGAAAATAATGATTTAAAGTATTTTTAAAAACATAAATGTTTATAAACATAAAAAACATTTAAATTAATATTTACCATTTGGAGAAAGAGTTACAGCTGGCATTGAATGCATAGTAGGATCAGCTATGTACTTCATATCAACAGGAATATCCCATTCCCACACTCGTAAACTTTTATCATCTGATGTTGACACAAAACGGCGATTTTCATCTACAAAGGTGATGGTATTAACAGCTCCAAGATGGCGATCATATTCTTGAACAATTTCATTGGAGTTTATGTCCCACTATAAAATGAAAGGAAGCTAAATAATTAAAGTGGATATTTTTTATATAACTGTGCCTTTTCAACTAAGAAAATATCTGAAATTTGATCCAGTTAAACTGTCCAGTAAAAATAACTTGCACTTAAATGCACAATTTGTTACTTTTTATTAACATAATGAAATATTTTATTAAAATTCTGTTACGATTAAATGGATTCATTCTTTTTTTTTTTTTTTTTTTTTTTTTTTTTTTTTAATTGCAAAGCTAAGTAAGTATGTAATAAAATAATGTCTTTAACATAAAATGGCAATTTCATAGGCTCTGCGAACATCTGCTTCCATGGCAAGTGAAGGCATAAAATTTAGTTTGAAAACTTTTGTACTCCATTCATATTCTGCATGGTTCTAGCCCTATCTCCAAAAGGAAGAGTTGAATTTGGAGACAAATTCAACTTTAATTTTTAATAACGAATAATGTTTGAAAAATATAATATTAGTTGTAGGAATGAGTAAATGAGATGAACTATTTCATTGCAGACATAAATGGAAAGTCTCAAGACCTTTTAATATTTTGTGCCTTGTTTTCAGAAACTGACAAATTTTCGGAGGATTAGAAAGGTTTTACAGCAATGCAAATTCAAAAAATACGTGATTTAAAAAATACTTTAAATTTTGATGAAGTATAAATTATATATATATAAAAATTACTTATGGAAAAACTACTTACACAAACAATTTTCTTATCTGAAGTACCAGCTACAAAAAGATGCTGCTTATCTTCATCTGGATTAAACTTTACACAATAAGCAATCTTTTTATTTGAGAACTGACCAATGCATTTACCTGAAATATCAGTATTATAGTAATAATCAAAAATAAAATAGTGAATTTTTAAAAATGAACATTTCTGTGTAAAAGGTGCATCTTTAACTAAGCTAATATGGTTACATAATGTACCTGTTTCTGTATCCCACAATTTTACATATCTGTCATAGCCAGCAGATAAAAACTGTGTTCCAGCATTATTGAAACATACATCTCTGACGGCTTGTTTATGTCCAATGTATGTTCTTACACATCGTCTTTCATTATAAACTTCCCACAACTAAAAAAGAAAGAGAAAAAAATTAAGGACTAAAAAGATTAATATTAAAAAAAAAATTAAAAAGCTTTCAGATTTTACATTATGCCCAAAGAGGTGTTTTTTTAATGCTTTTTGTGTTACCTTTATTTATTAAATATATTCTTCAGACTTAAACCATAAAATTCAGTTCAACAGCAATATCACAAAATAATTTTAAAATGAGCATACCCTTTAGAATTTCCAATGCACAGTCTTGCACGCTGGAAATAAAAATGTTTCTTTTTCTGTACAGTGTTGCCATTACTCACTTTTAAATTGTTGTGTTTACTAATCACAAATTCGTTCAAAGTTTTACAAAATATGAAATAGATAATAAAACAATTCCAAGTTTGGGCTTCCAGATGCCCATATTGGGGTGGAAACATACGCTATTCAAAATTGATGACTCTAGGTACCATTGTTTTATCACAATACGAGAAACATGCAGATTCCTTTAACTTCTTTAGTGAATGAATACAAAATGCCAAAATGAAATTCATAGCCCTTCTGGGCTAATGCCCTTTGGGCTAATAATATAAAACAGGGATTCTCAATCGGTGGTATCCAAAGAAACAAAGTATTTTTAACTATTACATTAAAAATCTCGTGAAGAAAAAGAACAATTGATAGAAATTTTCTGTGATTGAACTCTAAGTGAAGATTTCAAAAATGACACACTTGTTAACTTTAGGCTGAACTGAAAAAAAAAGAATTTAGAGGCATTTCAAATAAAGCTATTAATTTTTTTATTACCTTCATGCACAATCTATTTGTGCAAACAAAGATTTTCTTCCATGTTATATTCGAATATTAATACTGAACAAAATTAAAAGTGGATCTTAATTTACGGTTCAAGCTAAGTGAAATATGACCAGGCATAAAGAAATTGACCTCTCTTAAACAGGCCCAAATTTCACATTAAATTTTAGAATTAAAGTATTAAAGCCTAAATTTTGATAATTAAAATGGTAACCAATTTTTAATCTAATATTTTTTATGTATGCATATTTAGTACAAATAGCCAACAGGTTGTGCAAATGGCAATATATATATATATTTAATTTTTCTACTGAGAAATTGAAAAATTATCATTCTAAAATGTAGTGGGGGTACTAAAATTTTTCAGATTTTATTTAGATGGTTTGCATTAGTCAAAAAGTTGAGAACCACTAATACAAAACTTATATAATTTTAAAATATTAAATTTAATATACATAAATATTCTGCAGAATGCTATATTTTATAAAATTAGTATACAAGGCAACTTATGAGGCAAACTACAGGTAAATAGATCACACTAAAACAATTTTTTTTTTTCTTTTTTTTTTACAGGAACATATGGGTCCAAGTGACCTGTTGAGGGAGAAACATAAGAAATAATAAATGCAATATATATTGTTTACTTAGAGTATCACTGCAAATGCATCTTGTCAACTTCCTATCAAAGGGCTCTTCTTATGCACATTTGCACTGTTTCTTTAGAAACTGGTTAAGTAATCAAAGTGAATTCATATGAAATAAATAAAATTTTAAAGCTCCTTTTTATTATTCAAGTACTTAATTTTAATAATGCTAATAAAGCTTTGTATAATTCTAGAATGAAGAACATTGAGGGTATTATTTAGTTTAGACCCAAATCAAATGTTTAAATGTGCGTGGTGTTTACACATTTTTAGAGGTTTGTTTACACACTTGTAGAACAATTTCAATGAAGAATTTAAAAGAAAGCTAATGCTTTGAAACAAAAATTTCTGGTAGAAATATTATTTCGAAAATTAAAGTCTACTCTTTTAAATCTATTCTCTTTTAAAATATTGCATGCAAACAAGAGAAATGCTCCTATTGCATAATTAAAAAACATTGTGAAATGCAAAGTATTAAAATTTCAAAGTGTAAAATAAGCAACATTATTAATCAGCAAGGGAAAAAACATCAATCAATATTTCTAAATAGGAAGAAGACTCAGGAAACAAATACCTTTCAGGAAATGAATACTTGAAAAAGGTACAAACTTCAAAGAAGGAACATGAAATAATGAGGGCTGTCATAAGTACACAAACTTTGGGGCTGTCGTAAGTACACAAACTTCACTATCAAACAAATAATAGCAAAGCAGCAAGAAATTAGGCAAAGGCTCCACTTCATTCTCTGCAACCGTCTGAATGGCTATCATTATATTCTGGGTTTCGACTGTAAACTTTGTCACAATCATGAATCTTGAATTGTAGTGGATTAGAGATGATTTTTTTTTTTTTTTTTTTTTTTTTTTTTTTTTTTTTTTTCAAAAGTAGTTTTTATTTGGCTCACATGACTAAAGTAGAATTGTATCAGTGGCCTGTATAATACTGTTCAGCCTAATGTCACTGTGAAGTAGCATGCATTTATCACATCTGGGCATCTTTAATGATCTTTGTAACGGTTCCCAAAAATGCATTCATGACATTCTGCTACCTATCTTACAACCACTGTTATTCCGCTTGTCCGCCATCTTTCAGAAAATTAACACCTGAAGAGAATGAGAGTACAGTGTCACAACTTTTGGCTTTCCAGATTTGCAGATTTTCCCCAACTGAACACATATGGAACATGTCAGATTTTTAGTTACAACTATCTTGTAAAGTGCATGAGTTTATTAAGCCATTGGAGAATACATGGCAGCTAATTCTGCAAGACAGCAAATGATGTTGTCCAAGTTCAAGAAAGACCAAATATCCTCATATATTATCACCAGAGGACAAAATATCCTTATATATTAGCACCATGCAAATTAATACACTTGCCAGAAAAAATATCTGTACACTAAAGGAAAAAACTTCAAGCTGCAACCTCCGATTTTTTATGAACTATTTATTAGTCATTTTACTTAAACTTTTCAACAATTTTTTCATACACATTAGTTTACAAAATTTTTTTACAGCAAAAAAACAAAAACTTAACTGAAATGAAACAGAAAAAGTAGCCGCACATAGCAATTTTAGTTTAAAGTATTCACTTTTCTTTATAGGTGGTTTCGGTAACCTTTCAATAACTTAACCTTACTGCTTCAGAACCTCTGCAACTCAATTTGGCATAGATTGAACCAGCTTCGTTGTATCCTCCTTGGTTATTTTGCTCCATTCATTCATGATGACAGTTTTCAGCATTTCTTTAGAGGTTATGTGGTGCTAATAGATTCTAAGATCCAGTAAATCTCACAAATGCTCAATGGGATTGAGGTGTGGGGACTGGGCAGCGTATGCAGTTGATGTTTCACATTTCGTATTATAGAGCAACCACAGCTTCACATTTTGCGCTGCATGCTTCAGACCATTGTCCTGCTGAAGCAGGAAAGCATCGCTAAGTTCCAGTTCCTGGATGCTATATCTGAATGTAGGCAATTTAATTTACTGCTTTATTTACTATTTTATTAATTTAGTTTGTAAGTTGTTAAATTCAAAATAAAGCTTGGTAATTATGCATAACCGTAATTAGGAAGATTAGTTGCCATTAGACTGACTATGATAATGATCTGGGTAATGGAGATACTGGTTCTTTCTCTGTTTTATAAATATAAATTTCTTAAAGTTAAATGTTCCAATATATGAACTTTTATTCATTAAATAAACTTCTTCGTCAAATCTTATTTATAATAACCCTCAGAACTAACATTAAGCAAAACTAAATTGCTCTTGTAAATGTGATCTAACTTCCTTCAAACCTATTTTCTACTTTCATGAATATTTTTACAATCTAATCTTTTTAACACTGCATTTCCACAAAATGCTTTCTTCAGTGATACACAAATCACTGCACAAAAATTAGAGCAATTTCCCATTTAGAAATATTACATAATTTTGAAAAGAAAAAAAAAAAAGCAAATAGCTTCTATTTCATTATTTGGAAAATCCTTGAGACACACGCATGCAAAACATGCAGAAAGACTGGGCACAATGAAACTAATAATATGATTAAATGAAGCGAGAAAAATTGAGGGCAAAATGATAGTAGATATTTATTAGTAACTTACTACCAATATCTCAGTGCCAAATTAAATTCCTGGAATTGGTTAATATGTCTACACCAAAAACATAAGAAAAGCATACTTTAAAACATAAAACATAATAAAAAAAAATAGTCTGCACTTTACTTACTTTGACTCTGCAATCCATACTACATGACAGTAATAAATGTGCAGATTTTGGAAACCATTTGATAGTTGATATTCCTTTTGAATGGCCAGTCCAAGTATGAAGTAATTTCTTTGGAATAAAACATTTTTCTGGAGGATCATCAGATTTAAGATTAACTCCAACATCCTGGGGTATATGAAGGAAGGATCGCCCTTGGTAATCATAAGCATCTTTGACTAAAAAATAAACAAATTCTCATATAAATAAAAATTACGTACTTGAAAATTATATAAAAATTTAATGTCTCAGAAACTTAAAAGTTATGCAAATACTATTTATAATACCTATTTAACACATCTAGACAGTAATCACTTATTCTAAGTAACTATAAAATAATAAAAATTTGCAATGGAAATAAATTTTTGATGAATATAATGCATATGATATTAGAATTTAACCATTTGATTTCATTGAGAGATGACTATTCATAACATTTCTAGTCTCCATTAAATTCTAGTAAATATAATAATATTCTTAGTAAATTTACAATAAATATCAATTTTGAATTCCTTCATCTAAAGCAAGTAATTTCGAATGAAAAACAAGTACAAAAAAATGATTCAATAAATCATTACGAACAGATAAAAAATAATTTAATGCCAACATTAATAAATAAGTAAGTAATCAAAAACACTAACTAAAACAGTGAAAAACAAATGATTTATCAGGAACAATTTAAAAAAGTATTTTTGAAATAACACATTGAGACCACTAAATTATTAATAGACTGATGATGCAACAAAGGATGTAAATTACTTTTCTCCTTTTTGGTTTCAACATTTTTTGCAATTTTCCACTGTGCTTCTATTCTTTTTTTTTTTTTTTTTTTTTTTTTTTTTTTTTTTTTTAATTTTACTTTTTTTTTTATTTTTTGTTCTGAACTGAACATGGGATGGATTTTAAAATGTGATTAATTTTGCATTATTATCAACACTTATTGCTGCTAGCAGTGAGCAACTATATTAGATTTTGAACTGCTTTTTTAGTTTGTTAATTTTATTATTTCATACGTAGAATTGCTTGCATTTACATGTTTCATTTTTTGGGGGACTCAGTCTGCTCAAAATGAAAATTAATTTTATTAGATTTTTAAGCATTTTAGGCTTGTTTATTATTTTGATGCTTTAATTTTACAAATTTTTACTCTAGCCTGTGTAGTTTAAAATTTTCATATGCTATTATTTTTTCATGTGTTGGATACCTTGTATTTACATGTTGTGTTTCTGGACTCAGTCTATTCAAAAAGAAAAATTCTTTAGATTTTTAAGCTTTTTTAAGCCTTTTTTTTTTTTTTTTTTTTTTTTTTTTTTTTTGTTTTTTTTTTTTTTTTTTTTTTTTTTTTGCTATAATTTTGTAATTTTTCTGCACTACTTACTAAGGGCTTTAAAGATATAAATAAAAAATTATTTATGTCTTTAAATATTAAAAATAATGTCATTGTTAGATCAGAAACAGGGTGATATATTTACTTCTTTTAGTTCACCAACCCCCTGATGATAATGCAACAAAGGATATAAATTATTTTTTTCTTTTTAATTTTTAATATTTTCCCACCTTCCATGCAATTTACCATTCTGATTCCAGTTTTTTAAATTTTTATTTTTGCATGTAGTTTGTTCCGAACTGAATATGGAATGGATTTTAAACATATTTAATTTACTTTGAACTATACACACATATGCAAAATTTAAAAAATTTGCAAATTATATCTATTTTTATGAAATGTATTACAGACCTGGACAAAGTCAACCATGATCCACAATGATAAATGAGAATCGTTAATTGGCACTTTCAGCATGATGACACAGAACTGCTATAACTTCATAGCTTTCATGTGAGCTGTATGTTGGCAGTGGAACCCGAGTTTCAGGGTGTACAGTTACACAAAGGTTTCATGAGATAGAGCTGAATACCAGAAGAAGTGCTATTTGCATCCCACTCACTACAGCACAGTATTTAGCATGGTGAAAACAACATGCACCTTGAACCAGACTTCAGTGGAGCACCATTCGTTTTACAGATAAGTCGAGACTGACCTGGACACTGATTGTCGGTGAAACTGTATCTAGAGACATTGGAACACAATGCCATCCCTCACACATGAGGGAAAAGGATTGACAGCGCTAGAGGTGTACTGGGGTTAGGAAGCATTATGTTGGACAGCTGCATACCCCTGCATGTGTTTGACAAAGGCTCCATGAATGCTATGAGGTTTAGAGAAGAGATCTTACAGCACTATACTCAACTTTTCAGGGCAAGGTTAGTCCCAGGTTTCTGTTAATGGATGATAACACTCATCCACATAGGGATCAGCTGGTCGACAATTGCTTGAAAAGTGAGGATATTCGCTGAATGGATTGGCTGACCAGATTTCCTGATCTGAACCATATACAGCATGTCTAAGTCACTCTTGAGACAGAAATTTCGCCTCTCTGTCCCCTCCGAGAACCAACCCAGAGTTGAAAACTGCCTTAATGCAGGAGTGGGATTGACTATCACAGGGATTCTTCAGCTACCCCCTGTCCAGTATGACATCACACTGCTCGACCTATCTGGCAGTGAGAATGGACCATACTCCATATTAGACTCATTTGCAGTTCAATATCGCCATGCGGATTTTGGATATCCCTGCACTATGAACTTTACAGATGATCAAATGCACTTAAAATGACTTTTGAATAGTACACATCTTTCTCTGTTATAAATGTATATTCATACTGAATTTCATTAAAGTCTGCCCATCATTTTTTCAGAAATTGAATATAATACACAAATTTTCTTAATTTTCCATACAAATGTATATATGTTATTTTGGACATCCTGCACTATGAGCTTTACAGATAATCAAATGCACATAAAATTACTTTTATATGGTACACCTCTTTCTCTGTTATAAATGTATATTTATACTAAATTCTAATTTCTTTAAAATCTGTCCATTATTTTTTTCAGAAATTCAATATAATGTGCAAATTTTCTTAATTTTGCAAGTGAAGCAGATATATATATATATATATATATATGTGTGTGTGTGTGTAGCAAATACATATATACTATATATATAGAGCAAGCAAACACCAGAGGAAGTTACTCTTATTCAACACCCAATAGTTTTGCACTTTTACTTATCCCACATTATAAGCTTTTTACAGGTCATACTGGCCAATGCCATGAAATAAAATGCACAAAAACTGGCAGCTTTATATGTTTTTCTTTCTCTTAAAGTACAACTTACATATAAATACATATGAAATAACACAATTTTCTTAGAATATGTAAAAAAAAAAAAAAAAAAAAAAAGAGTGAATAATTCAAACAACTATGTTTTAAATTACAATATGACAAAAACAAAAACAAATCCATATTAGGGCTGTTTAATACAATCAGAAGTGGGTTTATAGGGTTGTACAGATTGCAATCAAGAAAGTCCCTCCAATCCAAGAAGCTCCTCAATCATGAAATTAATTTTTTAAAGTCAGAGAAACATGCTACAAATGTTCAAGCGAGGATTGTCACCCATTTCAGAAATCCACACCCCACAGAATCTCAAACATCAGGAACATTCACTTTCAGATCCCAATCTTTTTTCTCAAGCTTATAGTCAGTTGGCAAGTCATAAAAAAGAAACAATTCAGTTCAGTGCACAAATGGCTCTGATATGATGCTATAAAAGAGTGATTTTGCCCATCTCTAGCTAGGATGTGAATGTACAGAACATTAATATGAAGCATATTTATATAGAAAAGCAAGATCATGAATAGATAGGAGAGATTATATACTAGCACTTCATGGCAGCTATTAGATTATCTAAGTCTGCAATGTTGTATGACAAACACACATGGTAGCAAACTTTTAGAGGCTACGAAGTATTTATTTATATATGCAATTAAATAATCTAATCACTTTTAAAAAATTACATGTACGAAGAGATTTTAAGCTCCAAACTAAATAACACTCAATACAAGCAAAATTACTGCTATTATTGAAATTATGATTCAGATGCCAAATTTTCTGATATGACACCTGAACAATTTCTATATATTAAATCATTGCACATGGAATCTGTATGTTTTTAACATAAGAATAATTCCTACTGTTCAAACAAACGTTAACTTTAAATTCAAAATATTACTAGTCACAACTAAATACTTACTGTGAAGTATGGATTTTTCTTCCATTGTTTTGTCTTCGGTAACTTTTCCTCGCTTTTGTCGCTTTGATAAAATATCATCGAGTTCAGCTTGTTCCTCCTGTAACAATGCAATAATAAAAATCTAACTAACAAATTTCAACTTTGTACCAAGGCAGAGGGGATTACATATAAATATAATCACATGCTAATATACTTGAAAATAGAAATGTAAACTATTCAGATTTAGAATATAACCCATACTATATGTTTTCAAACACTAAAAATACATACATGATATTCTCATGAAGTTTTAATACTGCAAAATCATAAACTAATAATCATACACAAATTAAAATTATTTTTAATTTTTGAGTTATGCAAATAATATTCCAAGTTGGCTTTTTGCAAATACTGAAACTTGCTACTTTTTCTAGATTATGAACTTTATAAGATCTCCTTTTTGAAAAAAAATTGTATTGATCAATGCTTTTTGTAACAATCTGCATAGAAATGCTTATGACTTTATCTATAATATCAGAAATTACAGTGATATTTTACTTTCAGTTCCACACAAATGCAAACATTTGGCTTTTCAATTTACATACAACCCTGAAAATGATCTCAAATTTTAAAATTAATTTTCATATGGAATCACACTCTACATATGTCATTTTTTATAATGAGTATTTTCCCCCTATCTTAACTTCAGAGAAAAGTGAAATTTCATAATTCTAATAAAATTGCTTTTTTTTTAAATTTTAAAATACTAAACATTTACATCATTTAAAATATTTTTATAGTTGGAAATATAGGTCTAAAATAAAAAAGTATGAAAATAAAGCTCACATAAGAACATTTATGGATACAGTGTATTATTATTTTGATAAACAAACTTATTTAACTTCACCTCTAGCAGCCATGGAACATATAAGTACAGTGTAATTACAATGTTCATAGTAATTTAAAAAAAAAGCATTTGATCTGACAACTGGCTTTGTGGTTCCAGAATATCATTCCTAATGGTGCTGCATTTCATCTACTGTTGGGCAGAGGAACAAATGTCGCTTAAGTGGTGGTATAAATGGCTCAATATGTGTCAAAATACCACGATTAACTGGAGGAATTTTATGAATGAGGTTTGTTTGCTAGATCTATTTTGACAACCTGAATGATGAATAGGTGGTCCTGGAAAAATAACTGAAATTGATGAGAATTTGTTCATGTGCCAAAAAAACAACAGTGACAGGGTAGTTCCACAACAGTGGATATTTCGCAGGTTATGTCATGAAAGTGGAAACATCTTTCTTGTTCAGGTTCCAAATTTTGAAGCAAGCCCACTGATATCAATCACAGATGATGCAGTGGAAGGTTCAACAATATATTCAGACTGTTGGATGAGACTATAAAATGGACAAGCTTAAAAAGGATGATTACAGCCTGTGAATTACCAATTTAATTTTGTTGATCCAACAATGGGTGCTCACACCCAAAATGTGGAAAGATTGTAGGGCTGTGTTAAATGGCAAAACAAAAAGCAAAGTGGTACAGCTAAACTCCAATTAGAGTCATATCTTTCAGAATTCATGTGGCAGAAATCCTCTGGGAAAGATAAGTCTTTTGATGCCATATTAAAAGCAATGGCAGAGATATGGCAGCCACAAACTATATGCAAGTAGTTTAAACCCAGCAATAATTTTGGCAATTTTATAATAGGGCAATGAAAATCAAGTAGTACTCTCCAAAAATTAATTCCTTTTTGAAGAAAAACCAAAATTTCACAAACAAACTTAAATTTAGAATAAACTTTTTTTACAAGACTCATTTTTTTATCTATTTAATAATGCTAAGATCAAAAGTCTGCTATGAAAATGGAATGAAAGGTATTAAAAAAAAAGGACAAGCCAAAATATTTGAAATTTTTTACATTGTTTGGCATAGCTAAGGAAGCATTATTGTATAAAATTAATTAATTAGTTGAACTAATTTTGACTAATAATATATTAAGTACAATGAAAAAATATCAGCTAGTGAATAATTTCATAGGCATGAATAAAAAACATAACAAAAAGCTTAAGAAAATTTATGCAATTCACTTTCAACAGCTACCAAAAAAAAAAAAAAAAAAGAAGAAGAAGAAGAAGCTCTGACAAGTTATTGATTATTAAAAATAATTAGTTTTTGCATGTAGAATTACTTACTTCAGATGGTTTCAGAACTCTTTTCTCATCCTCAAAACCTCCCCAAGGCCCAAGGAAACCATCTATGTCAGTAGTATCATTATTTTTTTTACGTTTTCTTTTGTCACCTTCCCTCTGTTTAGTTTTATCAAATACTGTGACTTCTACAAAAATAATACAACAAATATTGAATTAACATATGATTCAGGTTAAAAAGTTTCATAAAAATAATTACTATATAAATATACTAAAATTTTGAAAAAGTAAAATCTTTCATGGTTATTCATTCCAAATTGCACTCTTTCATGGTTATTCATTCCAAATTGCAGAATAAAATCAGATTTATTTACCCCTCTTTGAAAACTACAGAGCAGAATTAAAGTTTTCATACATTCGCTAATAAAATGATTAAGCTAAATCATTATATAATACCTGATTAAAGAACTCAGTTTTTGTTGCAAGTAAGCATTGTTTCGCAATAATTAATTACATAATCCAGGAGAAGAAAACTTCTACTAATTTGTAGATCCATTTCAGAACTTTGTTACTTTGTTGAAGAAAAATAAATATACACTTGCCTTCAAAAATTAAAGGATAACTGTAAAAATGATGCAAAATTACACACTACTTACTGAATACAGGAACTTCCTGTTACATATACTTACGGATCGAATATACAGATTAGATGAGTACTATAAAAGGGAAAATGTTCAATGTCCTACTACTAATTTGGTTAAAAGGTTCGTGGCCAAAGCTGAAACAATGAGTCCATTCACATGTGCCAAGATCCTACCTGTGTTTTTATACTTTTAAATTATTTGCTATTGTTTATTTGTTTCCATTTAATGAAATATTTGCTCCCTCTGCCAACTATGAAATAACTCGGAACTAGATAAACAATACTCACCTGTTCAAGTGCATTTATGCAAAACCAACTACACTTGTGATACATTATTTTCCATTAGTTTTACATGAGTCTCCGGAAAAGTATTTGAGTAGATTGTTTATAAAATTTTCCAAATAAATGGATACACTCAAAAGTCTTTAATCCAGACTCGTCGGGACTTCGGTGATTCCGGATTATCGATTTTTTTGGATTATAGATCATCAGTTTAAATCTGGTAAGATGGCATGCAGAAATTATAAAATTAAAAATATGAAACCGTAATTTATAAAATAATGAGCAATATGATCTAAAGGGTATCAAAATTTACAAAAAAAAACTTAATATTTATTGTTTGTTTACTTATTAAAATTTTTTACTTTTATTAAACATTTCTTTCAACGCGCATGCATAAAGCATACATTAAGCATAGCCGAAATTAGAAAATTGCAACCAGAAAACTATTTGATTTGTATTCGTGATATTTATAATGACGAGGAAATTTGATTTAAATCATATCAAAGACGGAGTACATCGAGATGAAATAAATACTACATTTAATAAGGAATTATAAGCCGAATAAAATAAAAACATCTGCCCTGAAGATAACGATAGTGCTGACAGATCAACTTCCAGTTCATTGCGCGCCGCGACGTCCCCCCCCCCCCCCCCGCAGAGCAGCGTGAAATTGATAAACATATTTCGGAACGGTTAGATAAACAAAGGATATGCCTTTATCCATTTTTTGGAGCAATTCCACATTTTGTTTGATGGACATCGAAACATACTTTTGTTTTGTAGATCCTTTGGGAGCTCCAGCATCGGAAATTCTATTTGACATAATCGAAAGTTCAAGCTTACTTTTATAAAATTGCTCTTACAGTCTACAAAAAATAATAAGCCGGATCCAATTCGAAGATTAAGGAACAACGCAATCATCAACATTAACTGAAATAGATAATTTTAGCTTATACCGTCCATCCGTTATAAATTAAACGCGAACGCGAAAACGTATTCTGCGCTTGTGCACACGCATATGCGCACCCATAAATGCCTATGTGCATGCTTCAACGCGGCGCATGCGCAGAAAGTTTTTAGCTTTGAGGTCCGGATTATAGATCATTCTGGATTATGGGTGTCCGAATTAACGACTTTTGACTGTATAATGGAACCCACCATAATAAATGGATTTCGGTTCCAAACATTTAGCTATTGTATCTAAATTTTGAGAAATAAATGATCTATTTCAGTTCACCAAGTGTATTAATCTCTGCTCTTCCAGGCAACAATTTTCTCTGTTCCAGAAGAGAAATGATGAAATGGAAACTATTATGAACTTTCTCTGTTTTAGCCCGCAAAAAAAAAAAAAAAAAAAAAAAAAAAAAAAAACCTTATTCTGATGAACAGGAGATAATAGAAAACAGCCTTTTAGTATTTACCCAAAATATCAGTGATATAAAGGTGGAAAATGTGGTTGATAAAATAACTTTGTCTAGAAATTATGTCATGCGTTACATTGATGACATGGGCCAGGATGTCGGCACAAAAATTATCTTTGGATACTTATGTTTGTAAAGAATCGGATTCTATTCATAACTCTGATGCAAACATCAGTACTGGCTTTCAGGATATAGAGGTAAATAAGCATGTAACCAGCTGTTGAAGGTGCCGAAGTGAACTGTACACATGATGTGGATAAACTACAGAGTAGTGTACAAACTGTTTCAGATCTTCCTGTAGATGAAAATTCTAAATCTTCAGACTGTGATAAGCAAAACAGAAATACATGTGAGAACTGAGGTGGAAAAGTATTTGACTTGGATATAATTTAATGAAAAATCTGAGACTGAAATTCATCCTCAACTTTAATTTGTAATTTAAAATTATGTGGTTAATTTGTGTATAGCGCAAATATTTTTTTCTTTGGTTTGTTATTTGTTTGCTTTATTACATTTTCTTTGTATCGAATTTGGCTTCTAACCAAGGACTGCCCAAGGCATGCAGTCCTTGGAAGGGAGCAGTGCTACGAAATGCTCAGCCGTGGTAAAAAAGCTTACCTGTAAAGCGGGTTTAGGGTTACTAGAAAATGACAAGGGAAGGCAGGGTTGCCATATTTGCCATGAAATTCTCATTTGGTGACAAAATTGGCAATATGCCATGGACGAATGGAGAACATTCTGGAACAAATTCTTACTGGTTTGGCCCAGAATGTTCTTGAAGGCAGGCCAAAAGCTATATAAACCCTGCCTGTATGCAGAGTAGCAGTCTAGTGTCGAGTTGGTCATCGAGTGTATCGCAAGTTGTAGCGTGGAGTACACTGAGAGTTCCAAGAGTGGCCAAACCAAGTCGGGAGCTGTACTCTAGTGCTTTGCCATGAAGCTGTCTTCATTGTATTGCCTGATGGCTGTGTTGCTGATCGTTTCAGCGTGTTTGAAGTAGTTTTTCAACTACTATAAACGTGTTTTTGGAACTGTCCCGAGTAATACTGGCTAATAAATTGTGTTTTGACTCTTTCATTAAGTGTTGTCAACAATCACTCCAAATCCAGGAACCCATAGAAATGCAACAATATGTTTATGAAAAAATGTTTTTCATTATAAATATATTAAAATCAAAATAATGCTCAAGATTAACTGATATGCACCTGAAACACCTAATTTTTGTTTTCATCTTCAAGAATTAATAGTAAGATAGATGATTTGATTAAAAATTACTAATTCAAAAGCCATATTATTTAAGTACTGACTGTTTAATAATTATTTAGAAAGAAATGTTTCATATTATGCATTCATATTATACATAACCAAACTGACTGAACTTTTAAAATGTTTACTACCGATAAAACCTAAAAATGCATTTTTGTTTTATTTATTATAATATTTTTTAAATCTTCATTATTCAGACTTTACATGGGGGGAAAATGTGCTATTTGTATTAAAATACCACAATCAGCCTATAAATAACATTTTTCACCTTTTATGCTTCTTAGCATGCTGGAAAATTTGGAAATAACACACATAATGCGTCCCCCCCCCCAGATAGTGAGACTCTTCCTAAAAAAGTTGGCCAACAAGCTTTAATCAAGATATTACACTGAACATGTTGCCTTTTATAGTTGTTTGCACTCACCTTATTTGCATATAAATAGCCATACAGCAGAAGATTTTATGTTCAGTAGCATATACTTACAATAAATAATTATAGGCCACTTTTTACAGAATTAATATCGCTTTTACAAGTATCTTTTAAAAACCAGTACATAAAACTCCAAACAAGCGAGCAAAAATTCCTTCAAATTTAAGTATAAGAAAAGTGAACTTTACTATCATCTGCTGATAAGCCACTTTCTTCTGAATTTCCAACAGTGATAAGTTTACTACCACCTCCCTCAGGATCATTTAAAGTAGGGTCAACAGCATATCCTAAAAAAAAAAAAAAAAAAAAAAAAAAAGAGGAAAGAAAGAAATATAACATATGCACATAAATATATGATACAAATCATAAACACTTGATAAGCCCCAAAAATTTCTATAAAATTATCATACACATATTATATAGATACCTCTTACTTTACAAGTGTTTGCTTCATTTAATTTCACTTCTACAAAAGAACTAAGATAGTCCTTTTTTTCTGGTTAACAAAGTTATCAGAAAGAAATTTAAAAATGACAGGGCTTTTTTTTTTTTAAAAAAAAAAAAGGAGAGAGATGAAAAAGAAAAGTATTATTCAGCATTTGGAACAATTTTAATTATGATAGTTCATACATTTAAGGTAATTTCCTGAGACAATCTGATTACATATGAAAAATGTTAAGGAAGAGGGTAAAAAATGTGTCAGTTTCAGAGATCAATAAGTCTCTCACGTTCAGCAAGAGTACATAATAAATTATTGCTTCTAAAATAGTCTGAGAAGACTTAGCAACTGTAAATATTAAAATGAATACAAATGAAAATAAAATAACCATTAAATGGTCTGAGTCTTCTTTGCTAAATTTTATGCTTGGCATTTCTCATAGCTATATCTTTGATGACTCAACACACCATTATCACTACCACCACATTTAAATCATCCAGTATGCTAATTCATTCTCCAGTTTTGGAAAAAAAAATTACTGCACACACATTTTTGCACTTATATGAAACAATGCGCTTATCATAACATTATTTTCTTTAGTGCTATTTTAGGTTTTAAGATTGTTTGGCTTGAACTGACAACCCTGTTCACTTTTTCTTTACAACCGAGAATATTCAAACTTTTTTTGCCTTTTAAATTAAGGATAATTGTTTCTCTCCTTTACATCATTTCAGCTTAAAAAAGGTTTCACAGGAAAGAAATGTCATAAAATGAGAAAATATTTTGCTTTCTTCAATATCAGAAAGTCTAATATGGAAGAATTTATGAGCAGTTTTCTGTATTTTATCCCCCTGGAGACTTACAACATTCTTTCAATTTTTACTATTATATTTATATTTAAAAATATGGTTACAGTCTTCAAGCTGCTAATAAAAATTAGTCTTCTTTTTTAGTCAGTTTACATGCTATTTTTTGCTTGGTACGTGTACTCTAATATGCTTTCATTTTTTTTTTTTTTTTTTTTTTTTTTTTTTTTTTTTTTTTTTTTTTTTTTATTTGCAATGAAATCTGTCCCCAAAATCTAAACATGTTATAGAACAAAATTACCTAATGCTCTAAGAAATTTCTTCCACTTTCAGAAATGCTTCCTGTGGTGTATCGAGAACTTAATCATAATCGGACTTAAAGCTCGCACAATGCCAAGCAATGCAACAGCGCGAAGTAGCTATAAACCAGAACTAAGACTGAAATGTAAGTAGATACGTGTGTAAGCGAGGATGATATCTTTTGTATATAATAAAGTAGCATGTAGTTTAATACAGTGTCTTGTGAAATAATTACCTACAAAGATATACAACATCTGGGGACGATGGATGTGGGATTTTTTTAAATAATAAATGTGTTTTCACGACATGTTTTAATGCAATCGGACTAGGGGATTCCCCAAAAACTGCTCAAGGAAAGCTTTTATAATCATTTCTTTCGGAGGATTCACCTTGGAGCAGCTTGTAACTGAGTTAATAGAGCAGAATAGAATAGAGCTCTAGTGGAGAGACTTACTTCAGTTATTACTCCATAAATGAAAAATTCGAAACTTTCAGTTCAGTTTGAAAAATATAATGAACACAAAGAACAGTCTGATTCATTTTTGGAAAGATCTGAAAGTTATTGGGAAACCAGTGGAAATTAAAGAATTTAGTGCCAGGAATAAAGGTAAATCTTAGTCAGTCCCTCCAAAACAAAAGTTTGAAAAACAAAACTTTTCAGCTAAAGGTGCTAAAGGCAAATTGTGTTTGCGATGTACGGGGACTGACTATGATAGTGATTCTTGTAAATTTACAGCAAGTATTTGAAGATTTTGTAAGAAAATCGGGCACATTGAAACGGCATGCTATAATGCTAAAAACGCTGAAAGAATGAAAGTGAAACAAAAACAATTAAATATAGGAAATGAAAACACAGTTCCTATGAACAGCATACATTCCAGTGAGGTGAAAAATAGGAAACCACCCATAACGGTACAAGTGAACATAGAAGGAAACCATGTAGCTATGAAACTGAATACAGGGGCTGCAGTATCGGTAATGGTGGTGTGGTGTATTTAATTATGGCAAAGCACACTAGGGCTATCTGCCTAAGGGGAGGGATGACTTTCGTGGAGGACTTTCTAAGGGAAACTGGCTCGTATACACATTACACATGATGAAAACCATGAAAAGCCCATGCAGCCAGCCCGTTCACGGGATTCGAACCTCGGACCGAACTACCAGTGTTCAGCGACTTTACCGCTAGGCCGCTGGTGGGTGTATCGGCAATGAGTTAAAACAATTTCCGCAAAATTTTGAGAAAGGAAATTCAAAATACAAGTCTGATTTTAAAGCATATTAATGGAGAAAAACTGATATCTTTAAGATTTACAACTGTTAAGGTAGAATATAAAGGTCAAAAGAAAAACTTGAACATTTACATTGTTAAAGAAAACCTCGATACAATATTTGGTTGCAAATGGCTTTCAGAGATAATTTTAGATGGGATCTCAGTAAAGTCAATTTCTGTCTCTCAAAAGAGTAGTTTAAATAAATTATTGGAACAATATAAAGAGATTTTTGACGGAAAATTAGGAGAGATAAAAAATTATGAGGTGCAACTTGAATTGAAGCCAAATGTTTCACTAAAATTTTGTAGAGCTAGGCAAGTACTATTTGCATTAAAAGGCCAGATAGATGAAGAGATGATCTCTTGGATAAAGAGGGTATAATCGAAAAGGTTGAAACATCGGAATGGGCAACACCAGTAGTACCAGTAGTTAAGCTGGATGGCTCTATACGACTGTGTGCCGACTACTCGGTGACAGTAAACCCAAATATTGTTATGCATAAACACCCTTTGCTGACCATTCAGGAAATATTTTCATGTTTGAGCGGTGGAAAGTATTTTTCAAAAATTGATTTTAAACATGCTTATTTACAAATGAAAGTTTGAAAAATTGCAATTCGACGTTATTTACCGTAAAACAAATGAGCATGGTAATGCTGACCTTCTATCACGATTGCCAACGAACTCAGAGCAACAGTCTGTTCAGGACGATGTAACTATTTTTCAATCTAAAGAAATTGAAACTGATGCAGAAAACAGTCCTACAAATACTTCAAAGCAGCGCTGGCTTAAAAGGAAGGGAAATGGAGTATAGCCTCCAAGATAGCTGTATAATGTATGGTCAGCACGTTTGTTTTCCAAAATGATACCATGAGGATGTTTTGAAAGAGTTGCACCATGGACACTTAACGACTGTAAAATTGAAAGCAACTGCTAGATCTTACGTGGTTTGGAATGGTATAGATAAAGATACCAACAATACTGCTAAAAACTGTTCTGAATGTGTAAAACATAAAATAGATCCTCTTAAGGTAAAAGTTCATCATTGGGGAGTACCCGAGCACTCCAATGGAATGTATTCATACTGATTATGCAGGACCTATTTTTGAGCATATGTTTTTGATAATCGTCAATGCTCACACAAAATGGATAAAGCCTATGCAATGAAATCAAGCTCAACTTTCAAAACAATAGAATGTTTATGGGACATTTTTGCCCGATTATCAATACTGTTAGTGAGTGATAACAGGCCACAATTCACTTCACATAAGTTTAAAATATTTCTGCAGAGTAATGGAATCAAACACAAACTACAGCACTATTTAAACCATCTAGTAATCTTAAACCATCTAGTGAATGGTATGTGTTTACAGTAAAACAATATTTAAGAAGAATGCAAAATTATCCGGGAACTTCAAGACAAAAGCTGAATACATTTTTTATGAAATATAGGAAAGCTCCGAATTTAACTGCTCTCCAGAGCCCTGCAATGCAAATGCTGAAGAGGGAAATTTGAACAAGAATAGATTTATTGAGACCAGACCTCAAGGGGAGGGTGGAAGACAGAGTTTGGAAAGGAACCAATGAGTTTGTAGACCAAGGATTTAGAGTTGGTGATATAGTGGCAGTAAGAAATTATCGTCAAGGTGACAGACAATGGAGATTTGGAATCGTCCAATCCAAGGATGAATAGCTTCATTACACTATAAATGTAGATGGTCAGCTATGGCATTGCCATGTTGATCAAATGCATGATGGAGGAACCATAACAGATGAGGGGTTTCATATGTCCACCTCCAGCTCTCGTGGTTTCCAAAGAGCCTGATAAGAGTAGAGCCCCAGAACCATCCAAAGATAATAGCCACCAGGCAAATGAGTCTCTGTCATCTTCCAAGCCTAAGGTTTTACCAGATGTTCCATCCACCGGACCTGCTGCTGATACAACCAGATTACCAAAGAAACCAGCAGTGCCACAACCTTTGCATCAGTATAATAGAATTTGACGTCCCCCAGAGAGACTGCAGTTGTGATAAAGGGAGAGGAATGTGGTGTATCAAGAACTTAATCATAATTGGACATAAAGCTGGCACAGTGCCAAGCATCACAAGTGCGTAAAGTAGTTGTAAACCAGAACTAAGACTGGAATGTGAGTAGTTGTAGGATACGTGTGTAAGCAAGGATGATACCTTTTGTATATAATAAAGTAGTATGTAGTTTAATACAGTGTCTTGTGAAATAATTACCTACTAAGGATATACAGTCAAAAGTCGTTAATCCGGACTCGTCGGGACTTCGGCGATTCCGGATTATCGATTTTTCCGGATTATAGATCATCAGTTTAAATCTGGTAAGATGGCATGCAGAAATTACAAATTAAACAAAAAAAAGGGAACCGTAATTTATGAAATAAAGAACTTATGATCTAAAGGGGTATCAAATTTTACAAAAAAAAAAAAGCTTATATTTATTTGT